GTATCACAAGATATGCTTAAATATAGTGACAAAATACTTTAAACATAACAAATATATAGCAATATGATTTTTTTATTTTTATTAATGCAGTAATAAAAAACAAGAAAAGCTAAATTTCATTTAGGGATTAGTGACAATATCAGTAGTCCTTGTTTAACATCCACTTGTTCTAAGTTATGATGACACCAAATGAGGGCATTTATGATGGGTCCTCATAGTTGCAACCATCACAGTATCCCCAGAATCACATAATCACGATTTGGGTGCTCAACATCCAGCCTGCAATTACATCACAGTATCCTACCACCTTCACTGCTGGCTTCCAACAAGCAAAATCAATGGGGAAACTGGCAGGAAGTTGAAAATGGCAATTATGTGATTGTGGGATGTTGCAATCACTTGGGATTTGCCTAATGATAAAAACTGGGACTGCCAGAATTGTGGGTGTATGGTGGTACAGTCATGTGACATTGTGCCTTTACAACTGCATTGTTTAGCAATAGAATTCAAGGTCTTAATTATCATATATATGTTTTCTGAGGTTTTCGCGGGTATTTGTATGTAGATCTTTGGTTGTTCGGGTTTTCTCCCGCGTAAAATTGGAAGTGTCTTGGCGACGTTTCGACGAAGTCCCATTCGTCATCTTCAGGCTGGTGTTTTCAGCTTCGTGCTTTGAGCAGCAAGACCACACATTGCTGCTCAAACAAGAAGCTGAAACCACCAGCCTGAAATGACGAATGGGACTTTCGTCTAACGTCGCCAAGACACTCCAATTTTACGCGGGGAAACCCGACCAACCAAAGATCTACATAGATATATATATATATATGTATATTAGCTATATATATATATAATTCGTATTTCTGAGGTTTTCGCGGGTATTGTATTTAGGTCTTTGTGTTCGGGTTTTCTCCACGGTAAAATTGGGAAGTGTCTTGGCGGAAAAAAAAACCTTCGACGAAGTCGAATTGATTAGAAAATCAATGAGTTATATGGAAATCCCATGCACCACTTGTCCACCACATACATTGGACAAACCAACAGAAGAATAAGTGCACGCATTGAAGAACATAAGAACTCAGTCAAAAAAGAGGAACCAACATCTTCCCTGGTCCAACACCTCAAAGCCACAGGACATGAACTTGACTTTAAAAATACCAGAACCATTGCCAAAAGTGAACATTTTAATAACAGAATAATCAGAGAAGCCATCGAGATAGAAAAACGCCCACACAGCATGAACAAGCGAGATGATACCTCCCGCCTACCAGCCATTTGGAACCCGCCCTTATTGACAAACGACTCCCTAACACAAAAAATGATACCAGACCCACACTCACCAAAACCAGACAGGATGTCACCACCACACATCCACGCAAAAAACAACCCAAAGCCACCCGATGATGAGGCAACGACCACAAACCAGAAGCCAGACCACAGTTGCATCATTAGCACTTTAAACCCCTCCAATCCATACATGAAGCAAACTGACACCCTCCATGAAGAGGAGACACGACCACGAACGCGAAGCCAGAAAATAGCAAGGCAGCCCAAAATCTTAAACCCCTCTGCAACTCAGACTAACCTGAGCACAACCAAACAGAACACTCCCCCAGCCAATCAGAGCACAGCCAAGCCCCTAACAATTCAGAACACACCTCCACCCAATCAGAACACAGCCAAGCTCCCACCCAATCAGTTCATACCCCCACTGGCAGTTAAAAGGAAGAAACAGCTAAGACCACACATTGCTGCTCAAAGCAAGAAGCTAAAAACACCAGCCTGAAGATGACGAATGTGACTTCGTCGAAACGTCGCCAAGACACTTCCAATTTTACGCGGGAGAAAACCCGAACAACCAAAGACCTATATATATATATATATATATATATATATATATATATATATATATATATATCCGATTTGTAATGTTTCGCAGTTGCGACTTGAGCCTGCTTAATGCCCCTAGTTGGGGGCTGCAAGGCAAAAGAGATTGTAAAAAAAAAAAAAGTAAAACTGCAGTATAGCAGTTAAAAAATGTCAAGGTGTAATCAATTAGACATCTGTCTAAAAAACTTCCTGCATATATATAAAAATACCCTAAAATTGGAAGTATCTTGGCAACGTTTCGACAAAGTCCCATTCGTCATCTTCAGGCTGGTGTTTTCAGCTTCGTGCTTTGAGCAGCAATGTGACAAGATATATATATATATATATATATATATATATATATATATATATATATATATATATATATATATATCTTTCACATTTGCAGACTCAATGGGTACCCAGCCAGGTTTATCAAGTGACATGGTATACTCTATAGACCCCCTCATGGTCAACAGATGGGGGCATCAGCATCCCCGATGACACGTGTTACTCTCCCATATGTCAGCAGTGTCTCAGAGGCTACAGCCAGAATGCTGGCACCCCATAACGTGAAGGTGGCACATAAACCTGGCCGCACGCTACATTCATGTATTATGAGGCCAAAAGACCCACTCCCCATGGCAGAGAAATCAGGGGTTGTTTACAAAATCAGCTGTAAGGACTGCACCTTTAACTACGTGGGTGAAACCTCTAAGAGCATAAAAACAAGGGTCCAGGAGCACAAGTTGGCCGTAAGAAGAGGAGAACAGTATTCCCAGATCCTCACGCATATAATGGACTTTGGGCCTAAATTCGATTTTGAGGGTGTGACTGTGGTTTGAGCGATGTTACAAAGAGCGGCAGGTTGCTCAAAGAAGCGTGGCTTTCACAAGAGGAGTCGATTAATCGGCATATAGACTTGCGCCCCGCACACCTAACATTAAGAGCGTGGGAAGCCCGCACCCATTCACTCCATCATCGGCAGCTCAGTAAAGACAACTTCACTCTGTTGCCTAAAAGGATTGGTATCCAGTCAAACAACAGCCGACACCCTGAGACCCCCCAGAGCACCGCAACAGGAATACGATCACCACGCCAAGAAACACCTGCCAGGGCCAAGGATTTAATTCCCGACACATTAGGCATCCCCTCCACCTCCTCAGAAACCCCCGTGATGACTAACCCGTATATCGGCGGATTGGAGAGGCAACGAGAGCTTGGATTGACGGTTTGACCACACCTCCTACAGACACACAAGGAGAGGGCTGCCGTAAACCCCCTGCCGAGGGGATAATCATGCGATCTCAGAGGGCAGCATTGCTAGCCGAGGTGAATGGTAGCGTGTGTATTCCACCAGGATCCGCATCGCGCTTTACATCACACCCCTTCCGGGGGAGAAGCGAGGACAGCCGACCCGCCGGAGTTTGCAAGCAACCACCTTTGGGGATTTTGATGGCCTCGATGATCGATCCACATGATTTGCAGTCCAACCCCCACAATGGATTCACAGTTGTTCGAAAAAAGGGGAGAACAACTGTTATGGAACTTAGCGAGGCTGGGAAAGCTGGGAAAATGGGGCGTGGGGGAGAACCATGTAGTGAGGGCACAAGTACATCACCCAGAGTGAGGCTTTGTTGTAAAAAACATCAGGATGTTAAGGGCAGACGTCGGAATGGTGGAGAAGGGGAGGGCCCTAAACTCACGGAGAGTTCAAAGGAAGAGAGACGAGGGAGACGACTTGGTGGTGAGGATGACGCCTTGAGTTGGAGTAGGATCGAGGATCCTCCTAAACCACGGATACGGATGAGTATTTATTTATTTATTTATTTTCAGTATTTGTATGCCGCCCAATCCCAAAGGACTCAGGGCGGCGTACAAAGTTAAAACAATGATAAAACAATAAAATAAAGCAGTCATACCGCGAGTATGACTGAGAATCGGAGGCTTGTTTAAACTCTGATGAGGGACGCGTGATACAAGTAGATGAGTCACTCAATCATACAGCAATTGCAACGAATGCTATGATTGGCCGACCTGGACCTATTACACTATCCAGGAGTCGAGCGCAGGCGTTAACTTACATATAAATGTTTACTCCCATTGATTTGGGTACGCCCTGATGAAGTTGGCAGTAGTCAACGAAAGCTAGGTTGCTAATTTTTTTAAAACTTTTAATGTTTTTATTTAAAACTTCTGTTTTATATTAAAACTTTTAATGTTTTAACTTTTCCTGGTGATCATATTTTATTCTCACCATGTATGTATGTATGTATGTATGTGTGTATGTATTTGTTTTCATAGATTTTCACGGGTGTAGGTATGCAGGTCTTGGTGTATTCGGATCTTTTCCCGTGCAAGGTTGAGAGTATATTGGCGACGTTTCGATGAGGTCCCACTCATCATCTTCAGGCTGGGGTCTTCGGCTTCGTGCTTGTGCGAGCAAAGTGTGATCGGAGCTGCCATCTCTCTATATATATTGGTGGGGGTGTGTGGAGTGCTGGCTTAGTTGCTGTAGGTGGATTGGTTGGCTGTGTTGGAGTTATTATTTGTGGATTGTTTGGCTGTTTCATAACATCCTGAGTAGTTGAGATGCTGGCTGTGTGCCCATTAGTCTTTTGTGTTGTAACGACCTGGGTAATGGGTTGTGTGATGACATCCTGAGATCTAGTGTGGTGATATCCTGAGTTCTGTGTTGCACCATCCTGGGTGGTTGGCTATGTTGTAACATCTTGAGCTTTAGCGTTGTAGCCTCCTGAGTTCTGTGATGTGATGTCCAGGGCTGAAGGCTGTGAAGTAACATACTGGGCTTTGGTTTGGCTCCGAGTTTGCGGTCTAGCTCTGTGTTCAAACAATCCACAAACAATAACTCCAACTCAGCCAACCAATCCACCTACAGCATCTAAGCCTGCACTCCACACACCCCCACCAATATATAAGATGACGAGTGGGACCTCGTCGAAACGTCGCCAAGATACTCTCAATCTTACACAGGAAAAGACCCGAATACACCAAGACCTGCATATATATATATATATATATATATATATATATATATATATATATATATATATATATATATATGGTCAAAAGTCTTTTCCCACTCCTGAATGGAAGTGTTCTCTATTCATCCTTGATTCAGAAAAACTAGACCAGCACAAAATTGCTGTTCCCATTGCTATCTTGCCATTGCCTTGATTTCAAGTCCCTGCCATTCACCTGGCTTCCCTCCAAGATAAGGATGACCAAGTCCACCAGATTTTGTACACTTGAGCCTGTCCTTGGACAGTGTCAAAATAAGAAGAAAAGAACAAAAATGTGGGTTAGACAGCATCATCACCAGATGGATTCATAACTGGCTGACCAACTGCATCCAATGTGTAGTCCTCAATGGAACTGCATCTATATGGAGAGAAAATATAGAACTGTGTACCACTTTAAAGAAGGAACATGGGATATAAATGCAGTGAATAACTAACATCAATACATCAGGAGAAAAGATATTTTGATTACTTAAGAAACTGAGGAACACATTCTTCAAAAACATTAGTATGTATTTTTATACAGCTTTGAGACTCAGAGCACTACACAACATTAAATCTAATTCAGATCTATGAATTCAAATAGCAACAAGTGCCATATTTCACAATAAGAAAAGTAGGTAATATGAATTCCATCATTCCAAGAGTCATTTCTTCCTGTGGCAGGATATAAATGTAATAAATTATCACAAAAAAGAGAGTAACAGTTGTTGACATGAGACATTGTTATTGAAAAAAAAAATAGATACCAGGAACCAAAATAGCTAAGATGACAGCCACAATTAATGCAATAGAAATTTCATCCATTTTGACATCATGGTGCATGTAAGAAATGGTGAGGCTTCAGTTACTCACTTGTGGGGGCCATTTTGATTTTTTTCAATGCACCTTCCCTCACCCAGATGCCCTGCGTGGACATTAATATTTATTTTATTTTCAAAAGTCGTGACCTTCCTTTGCCAAAGGGTAAAACCACAAGACAGTTACGCTCTTCACAGAAACCAAATTATTCAAAGTATCTCTTTTACAAGAATTGTTTACAGAAAAAAAATCCCCTTTGAATTATCTCAAAACAGATGCAGCTTATTTTCATTTCATTATACTGATTATTTAAATCCCATTCCTTTATTAAAATAATAATTAAATCAACATTAAAAATACATAATTGAGAAAAAAAACAAAAGCAGATATAAATAAAAATGGCAGTAAAATATCAAGAGGACAGCAATATTAAATATTCTAATAGAGCAGATTAATGTTTAAAAGCTATTTTAAATACAAAGTCATTATCAAATAAACATTATATTATCTTTTCATACTTTCTATATTCTCTATGTTTGTATCACTTCAATTCATGTTTATATTTCACCTTGAACATGTATCAGTACTGGATAATTTACAATGCTTTAGTGGCATATTTTTGTGTAACACGTAGTATTTCTAGTAAATTTGCATTTTTTTCTGGACCAAGAAAAATATCTCAGCAGCCACATTCCAAAACAAAATGAGACAATGTAAAAAGAATTTAGAGATGACCTTAGGATGGTATGAAAAAGCTACTAAGGAGGGACCTGAAGAAGTGGTTAGAGTCCCAGGGGTAGTCAACCTTGGCTCTTTTATGACTCTTGGACTTCAACTCCCAGAATTCCTGAGCCAGCTAAGCCAGCTAAGCTGGCTCAGGATTTCTGGGAATTGAAGTCCACGAGTCATAAAAGAGCCAAGGTTGACTACCTCTGGGTTAGACGTAGGGAGACTGATAGAAACAGGAGAAAAGTGCTCACTGTCACCAGCCCCCAGCTTGTTTTTATTTAGTATGAGATGGGACAGAGAAAAGTTTAGACTTTCATATTCTATTATAATACCCAGAATAATAAAGTACTATTCCTCAAATCCCTGTGGGTCTATCCTTGATTTGGCTGACCTTGGACAACTGACAATAAGACTAGTACAAAACCTAAATTTGATATACAGGTAATCCTTGACTTACAATCACAATTGGGACCACAATTTCCATTGCTAAACAAGGCAGTTATTAAATGATTTGCACGCGATTTTACAACCTTTTTGTCACAGTTGTTAAGCAAATTGCTGCAATTGTTAAGTAAATCACAGGTATGTTAAGTGAATCCAGCTTCCTCCATTGACTTTGCTTGTCAGAAGGTTTAGAATTGTCAGAATTGGGAAGGTTACAAATGACAATCACATGATCCTGGGATATTGCCACCATGGGGATGCCATGGCAGTCCTTAGTGCAAGGACCGGTTATAAATCACTTTTTTTCAATGCCATTGTAACTTTGAATGAGGACTACCTGAAATTTATATTTAATTAACATTAAATATTACACTCAATCCTCATTGTGTATGGGAATTATGTTCTTGAAAACCTAGTCTATAGAAACAGAAACTATGGTTATTGAAGCATTCATCCTAGTGAGAACATGTGGTCTGTATCAGTACTGACATGGAGACTTGTTAACAAAAATGGTGAGAACAAGACAAGAATGTGGTTTTCTGTGTGTAGCTCATGTTGATACTATGCAGTAAGGTTCTCAGACATTTTCCCTACTCTGCATGGCTGCATAGAACCATGTTGACACTGTGTTTCATAATAAATGGATTATACTTTTATAGACACATATAAGCAAATCTGCAGAAGCAGAATGCGCACAGATAATGAGGATTGCTATCTTTAGTCATCTGTTGAATAATTTTCTCTCCCCAGCACATTAAACATTGTAATATAATAATAGTTTTCGGAGATCTATTGGGAATATATCCAAGGATCTTGGAGACTGCCTTAATACAGTATATTTAAGCCAAAAGAATTTCTGGCTGAAATCTTGAAGAGCTGATGCTAGGCAGCATAGACAAGACAAAATCCCATGGTCAACTCTTTGCCTTCATTCAGATGCCATAATAAGAACATATTTATCCTTAGTATTAGCTTTCCCTCCACCCCAAGAAATTGCAACTTACTGCATCATCTAAACTGACAACCATAGTTAATTTTATTAACCATAGTTTATTCTAACCAAGTATCATTACATTTCATTCCAAGCTTGGCTGTTAATCAAATGGAGAAGCAAATGTTCCCAGCCTCTTCTTTGTGAAGAGTAGGGAAGAGAAAGTAAGAGTCCACAGGAGCCTAGATTTGTTCTCATAAGAACAAACCGTCCATTATTTTTATCATATCTGAATACTCTCAGTTTAATTAATCTTAATACATGGTTATTTTCCTCTTGAGATGACCTGGAGTTTTATGAAGATAATGTCAGTGGCTACATACTTGGAAAAAAAGTATAGGTAGTCCTCAAGTTATGACCACAAATGTGCCCAAAATTTCCATTGCCAAGCAAGACTGTTTTTAAGTGAGCTTTGTCCCACTTTATGACCTTTCTTGCCACACTTGTTAAGTGAATCACTGAAGTTCCTAGGTTAGTAACATGATTGTTGAGTGAATCTGATTTTCCCATTGACTTTTATCAGAGGTTCACAAAAGGTGATCATGTGATCCCAGGACACTGCAACAATCAAAAAGACATGCCAGTCTCCAAGTGTCCAAATTTTGATCCCATGACCATGGGGATGCTGCGACAGTCATAAGTGTGGAAAAAAGACCATAAGTCACTTTTTTCCATTGCCGTTGTAAGTTTGAACAGTCACTAAATGAATGGTTGTAAGCTGAGAACTATCTGTAGTAAAAAAATAGGATAGTCTCATATAGTTCATATATGACAATGAAGAAGTCCATAAACTTAGAAGATTGTTTTTACTATCTTTGCTGGACTTTCTCTGTACTGTTGGATTGCAGGAGCTTAATTGCTATTTATTATCAGTCATAGCCAGGGCATTTTGAATTTTGGTACTTACTTTGAAATTTCAGATTGAAAAATGTAAAGATTTTGGTTTCTCACATCTAAGCAAAGTGATAAAAAAATGAAAAAGATCACTGACTTGAGGCCAATGAGTAATACATGAAGTGGGAAATCAACTTAAGTGCTAATGTGTTTTCCAGCCTTAAGAGATTTGCATCAATTCAGTAACATTTCCTGAACAAACACTGAAAGTTTTCTTCTTCATTTTTAAGTTGAAACTTTTAAGTTTACACTGATTCTTGTCATGTGGCATATGGTTTTCAAATTAAGAATATGAATATCATTTTCCAATCAGACAAAAACAATCCTTCAAAATATTAATAACTTTGATTTTCCATACAATATTGACGTAACTTTGGCTATATCTATAAGCATAGTCAAGGTCTGTTAGGTATTGTTGCTGTAAATAGCATGCAGTTAGGAGTGTGAAAACTGTTTTTTTCAAGGCTATCTGCTGTTAAATCACATTTAAAAACCACCGTTCATACCTGGGATTCCATTAGAGCAATATATAATAGGAATTCTTCTGTTCAAACCACCTATAATTAATATTTGAAAGGTAAAACAAAGGAAAATAACTTTGGTTCACCTGCCTTTTTTCAAAACAAGTATTAGGAGTTAAGAACTTACGTAAATTCTGCCAAACTTGTTACAATAAACATTTTAAAGTGTGTTTAACTTGCCCAACTTACTACAGTTTTGAAGAACGGACCCTATATATTTTTTCTTGCATATGTCGACCCCAACTACTCCAATTTCTGCTGAACATTCCGTTCTTAATTACTGATACCTAAGAAACCATGAAGAGATTGTTAATAGTAAAGTACACATACATGGACAAATGGCAGTCCAAAGGAGAAAGTGTGAGCCTACAATTTGGATTGGGAGTAAATTTTGGATCAGAACCCAAGGCTACTTCTTCTTCAAAACAGTAGCATATGCTTTTTAATAAGTATTTCCCCCAACATATAGTTTTAACCTTTGGCACCATTCAAATACAGTTGCACATTCACCATTGAAAAATTTGCCCTCCCCAGAAAGACAATGACCTTCACCTATCTATCCTGTAAGAGCTTTGCTGGAGTAAGTCAAAAACCAACCTAACACAATGTTTGGTTCCTCTAAAAGTCAAGTGCTATTATTTGCAAAACACCGGTGTTAGACAAAAAAATCTTCAATACTTTGGATTTAAAATATGTGAATGAGCATCAAGTGTTATCTTTTATTATTTCCAAAACAACAGTATGTTAAAAAGAATCTATGCAAAGGGGCTCAGAATGCTATCCAACTAACTAGCAGTGAGATGACTCTCCCCAAATGGAAAAAAATGAGATTATGGGGTAAATGTGGAATGATGAGAAAACCTGGCAAAAGAAATATGGGTTATAAGTGCTTTGAGATTGTGGGAAAAACATTCCAGAAAAAGAATCCTAAATTCCTATTAGGAAAGGCTGCCAAATGCCCCACCATAAGCCTTCTTCCTG